AGATAACGTTATCAGACCATACAGTATTAGCAGTCCAATGGTCATGTCAATAAACATGTTCACGAAATACCTGGGGGAGGAAATAATGATAATTTTTGGAAAGAGCATTAAAAATTGTCTTACACTCCTATACGAATCAAAACTTAAGCAGCAATCGGATTACATTGCAAAATAGAAGGCACATTATCCCATATATGGCAAATCATTGATTTTAATTAATTAGACCGACTAAAAATACGTAGCTACATACAAGGAGCAGGGGTCCTGGTTTGAGAAGAAGAGCTGGGAAGCCAGAACGTTGAAAACATGTATAAAACCTGCTCCGATAGCTTGTTTACTAACGTCTAACAGCCACACCATAACACTTCTCCTCTCATATTTAGGTTCCCTGGGGAGTGAGGTTTAAAGTGAGGTTCTGCTACTCTCTCTCTCTCTCTCTCTCTCTCTCTATGTTCCGCTACTCACAATCCACATTAAATTACCGTCAGTGATGTTATGTGTAATACTCGTAGACTAGTTCAACTGGTTATATGTATATAAGACGTTATTAAAAGTTGTAGAGATGCATATCAAAATGTTGAAATTTCTAGCTAGCAATACACGTTGATATTTCTATTCTTGATTTTATGAAATAGCAGATTGGTTGTTATCGGTTTTAGGGTGATTGTTACATCCCACAATTTAGGTTTTAGAGGCAGAGACAGATTAAAACAGTTTTTTTTATAATTTTTATTTTAACTCCAAACGTTTGGCTGATAAATGGCGTAAATCAGACGAGATGATATGGCGGAGCTTTTTGGCACTGATCCATGGAAGCAGTTGGCAACCGAATTCTGCTGTCACTGAAAAGCTCTTTTGTAAATGTCACTACTTGTTATCACACAAATGCCTTAATTTGGTCAAATGAGAGGGGGGAGGCAACACAAGAGGACCAGTGTCTGGTTGAGATACAGACCGCACCAAAAGTGCATCCCTTTTCTGGACCACACTTATTTCGCAAAAGCTGCTGACAGGCCCTGATATACATTTTAAATCGCATTATTTGAATCCTCTTTAATTAAACTGTGTTTGAAAATGATCCCTATTTCTAAATAGGCCTATTGCACGAGCAAAATCCTCAAACAAATCCGCCAACAATATGTCACTGCAGCTGCTATTCTTCGCATTTTGACATTAACTTCAACTTTTTTACAGACATAGGTGACACTAAATGGTTCACAGCGATTTAAATTTAAACTGCTCAAAATTGTATGGTGCCTGCACATTAAACGTAGCTACGAGTTTCAAAATAATTTGAGCAGTTTGCCTCATTCGTCAAATTTTAAGCACCACTTAAATTTTGAACCCAAGTCAAAAAATCATGTATTGAAGACATGATTAAAACACTTAAAGATGCAAATCAAAATGCTGCAGTGTAATTTTTATAAAATAATTCTGTAGAAAATAATGTAAGAGATATAATTTTGTTTAAACATAATCAATAATTACATCACAATGAACATATTACATACATTAAAATTAAAAGACGTGCATGCAATGAAAGAAGTACATTTAATGCATCATGCATGTCTTTTATTTTAGTTGTACAGTTAAGTATAATGTTTAAATTTGATAGTGTATTTAACGGTTTTAACTTTAAGAACAAACCAAAACTCTGCCAGGGTAAAACCTCACCTGTATCTCTTGAGGACAAGGATAGAGAAAGCGATGGTGGCAAGCAGAAACTGAATGAGAAAACCAAAACTATCTGTCAAGTTGCATTCTTCCGAAGAGGTAGAGTTGGTGGTGTTGTTGCTTTGACTAGATTGTGTTACCTGGAATTTAATAGTTTATATTCTGTTTATTACCGGTTTGTTACCGGTTTGTTACCGGTTTTTTTACCGGTTTGTTACCAGTTTGTTACCGGTCTATTGCCAGTTCGAGACTTGTTAATGTCTGTGGTTCTACTGTACTGTAAGTTGTCTGTTACTATAGCATAGGATATAGGGGGGGGGTGTCATGTGAATGTCCGTCTATGTCCGCCTATGTCCTGTCCTTTTTGGATTCTATGAGACAACGGACGTGTTTTTTGGGACATTGGCGGACACGGACGGACATTGGCGGACACGGACGGACATTGGCGGACTGGGACGGACATTGGCGGACTGGGACGGACATTGGCGGACCCGGACGGACATTGGCGGACTTGGATGGACATTGGTGGACATTAGCGGACATTGGTGGACATTAGCGGACAAACATTTTGAGGACTGAAGAGTACTGAAGAGTACTGAGGAGGATGGCTGAGAAGGATGGCTGAGGAGGATGGCTGAGGAGGATGACTGAGGAGGATGACTGAGGAGGATGACTGAGAGGGAGGAGAAGGATCAGGAAGACCCATGAGGAGGAGGAGGAGGAGGATCCAGAAGGAGGACCTAGGAGGAGGAGGAGGAGGAGAACTGAGGAGGATGACTGAGGAGGAGGAGGACTCAGGAGAAGGACTGAGGAGGACTGAGAAGGAGGAGGACTGAGGAGGATGGCTGAGGAGGATGGCTGAGGAGGATGACTGAGAGGGAGGAGGAGGAGGAAGAGGAGGAAGAGGACTGAGGAGGAGGAGGAGAAGGACTGAGGAGGAGAAGGAGGACCCAGGAGGAGGAGGACTGGGGAGGAGGACCCAGGAAAAGGCCCCAGGAGGAGGAGGACTGGGGAGGAGGAGAACTGTTGAGGACTGATGAGGAGGACTGAGGACGAGGAAGAAGAGTAGGAGGAGGACTGAGGAGGGGAGGAGGAAGAGGACTGGGGAGGATCAGGAAGACCCAGGAGGACCCAGGAGGAGGAGGAGGAGGAGCCAGGAGGAGGAGGAGGACTGAGGAGGACTGAGGAGGAGGACTGACGATGACTGAGAAGGAGGAGGACTGAGGAGTACTGAGGAGGATGGCTGAGGAGGATGGCTGAGGAGGATGGCTGGGGAGGATGGCTGAGGAGGATGACTGAGGAGGATGACTGAGAGGGAGGAGGAGGAGGACTCAGGAGGAGGACTCAGAAGGAAGAGGAAGAGGACTCAGGAGGAGGACTCAGGAGGATGACTTAGGAGAAATGAGAAGGAAGACTGAGGAGAACTGAGGAGGAGGAGGAGGAGGAGGACTGAATAGGAGGAGGAGAAGGAGGGGGACTGGGAGAGGACTGGGGAGGAGGAGGACTGATGAGAAGGATGAGGAGGAGGACCCAGGAGGAGGAGGACTGAGGACCGAGGAGGAAGAGGAGGAGGATGAAGAGGAGGAGGAGGACCCAGGAGGAGGAGGACTGAGGAGGAGGACTGAGGAGGACTGAGGAGGACTGAGGAGGATGGCTGAGGAGGATGACTGAGAGGGAAGAGGAGGAGGATGAGGAGGAGGACTGAGGAGGACTGAGAAGGAGGAGGACTGAATATGAGGAGGAGGAGGGGGACTGGGGGAGGACTGAGGAGGAGGATGGAGGACTGAGGAGAAGGATGAGGAGGAGGACTGAGGAGGACTGAGGAGGACTGAGGAGGAAGAGGAGGAGGATGAAGAGGAGGAGGAGGACCCAGGAGGAGGACTCAGGAGGAGGAGGAGGACTGTTGAGGACTGATGAGGAGGACTGAGGACGAGGAGGAGGAGTAGGAGGAGGACTGAGGAGGGGAGGAGGAAGAGGACTGAGGAAGATCAGGAAGACCCAGGGGGAGGAGGAGGAAGAGTAGGAGGAGGAAGCATCTAAATGTTATTTCCATTTTTGTCCGTTTTTGTCCATTTTTGTCCGTTTTTGTCCGCTCTATTTTTTGTCCGTTTTGAAAATATAGGGTACCGAACGGACAAAAAACATGATCCCCCTATAACAGCAAAAATTGAACATTTTATTTAGTAATTTAGGTGTCCATTAATGTCCGCCTATGTCCGCCTATGTCCGCCTATGTCCACCTATGTCCGTCTATGTCCGCCTATGTCCGCCTATGTCCGTCTATGTCCGCCTATGTCCGCCTTTGTCCGCCTATGTCCTGTCCTTTTTGGATTCTATGAGACAAGCGGACATAGACGGACGTGACACCCCCCCCCCCCCCCCCCCCGATATAATGCAAGCTGAAAGAATTTATTTATGTTTTAAAAGCAAACCTTCATAAGTGAAAACAGGGCCAGAAAGAAAAGTGATGTTGTAGTGACCATGATCAGGAACATGAACACATTTTGACAAAACTTTTTCATTTTCCCATCGACAGCCATCTAACAGCAATCATCAACATCCTCCTGAATATTAAACAATCACCATTATTATTATCAACATCCTACTCAATTTTAAAGTTACTATCACCATTATTATTATTATCAACATCCTACTCAATTTTAAAGTTACTATCACCATTATTATTATCAACATCCTACTCAATTTTGAAGTTACTATCACCATTATTATTATCAACATCCTACTCAATTTTAAAGTTACTATCACCATTAAAATTATCAACATCCTACTCAATTTTAAAGTTACTATCACCATTATTATTATCAACATCCTACTCAATATTTAACAAACGATGATATCCAGAGTAAAATATTCTTTGAAAAAAGAAGAATTATGTACAATATTATTACATGGGAAAATATTCTACTGTTAACATTCAAGGTTGCAAAATTTTAAAGAAAAGGCACAATTTTTTGGGAAATCATTAATATATTTTTCATCGTCATAATCAATATAATCAATTCATTTATTATCACCACAATCAATATGTAGTCAATTTAGTAAAAATTCATAATGCCTTAGTATTAAACATTTTCGAATCAAGCGAATAAACATAAACAGTAGCTATCATTCGTCCCATAGTCTGTCACTGGAAATGTATCCAAAAAATTGCATCATTGTGGTATGCAGGTCTTCCAGCCCAGCTCATTGTAATACTAATCAAAAAATATAATTTAAGCTTTAATTTAAAGTGATAACTCTCATAAAAATCTTCATGATATAAAAAAATTAGGCCTGTGGCAATTAACCAAAAAATCGATGTCCGTTTGTCCAAATTTGTTTATCTAATAATAATAATAATAAATTGAAGTTTAAGAACACCACTATTAAGATAAACTTAAATACTCAGCAGTGTTTAATCTAGTCATCCCAGAAACTATCACGATAAAAGTTAGGACTACTGTCATATACTTGAAAATATATCCTTCATACTAAAATCAGAGAGTGAAGCTTAAAATTAAAGTACTAACACTAAATATAGGACAAAATCAGTCATTGATAAAGTTTTTCAAGTTCATGCTGAGACAATTTGAATAAGAAAGTTTTTAGAAATGCTTTATATCAAACGATCCCAGGGATTCAGCTGATGTGATGGTAAGGTTGGAAAGAATAAACAAAAACAGTAGCTATCATTCTTCCCATAGTCAGTCACTGGAAATGTATCCCAAATAATTTCATTATTCTGGTATACAGGTCTTCCAGCCCAGCTCATCGGAAGATAATAACCCCGCGAACCACTGGGCTGCTCTAGTTCTTTAAACCATTCCATTTCGAGATGCATATCTTTAGCATGTATCTCGTTATGGTAATGTATTTCCTCTGAGTAATCATTGGGGTCAGTAGAGAGCACGAAATTAGCATGCTCTTTAGCAGGTACTGTTTTTAAAATAAATCCACATTTCCCTGGTTTAGAACAATTTGACAAATTGTACACAGATGCGTGACCTTCACAGATAAAGTATAACTTAGTCTCTTGTTCGAAAAGGGAAAAAATGTCTTTGATTAAACCTTTAGTAAAGATTATATTCCAGCCTGCCTCTCTAAGACCTATACAAAGATCTTCACAGGACATAATTGCTTGGAAAAATTCACGCGAAGACTCTGACTTATGCAGAAGCAAATTGCAATTTAGAAATGATTGAGACACCTCTCTCCACTTCCGTTTTTTTCTAATTTCACGAACCTTGTTCAGGAAGTTGGATGAACATTTGACTGGAGACCCCTCGTTGGCATTCATCCAAGTCCATATTCCCTCAAAAAACATCCACAAATTTACAACTTCGTCAGATGTACCCAACCAATCAACAACTTCGTCAAATGTCAAGCTAGTGTTAAGAGTATGAAGCATATTTGGTATTATGTTACTGTCAGACAATTGAGCAACACCAGATGCAGATGTGGTGGCAATTGAAGTCACAGATTCCTTGGATATCAATGACTCTTTAAATGATTTTCTTTGAAGTCTAAGCAGCCACTTCAAATCATCATTTGTACCACACAGTTCCTCTAACTTACCAAACAGTCTCTCATAAAGCTGAATATTGTTTTTAAGACAATAACTCAAATCAATGTTTTCCAGAGTATATTTGAAGTTGGTTAGATCCAAAGTTCCCTGGTTAGATGAACTAGCAGTAATTTGTTCTGTAATTGGTTTTACAACGTATTCTACATTAGTTTTTGTCAGCTCAATGATCAAATCTAGTTGTTGGCAACACAGAGAGGTCAAGTTTTGGAGATATCTGGAGATAAAATCCCGTTGTGACTCCCCATTCAGTGACTGGATCTTTTTAAGAGCAATCTCAACTAACTGTCTAGATTTGAGGTTAGATAAAACATAAACTGCTTCATCAAATAAGAATATCAAATCTTCGTACGAAGCTTCTTGAATAGCTTCAGTCATATTTTCAAACTGATCAACACATCTGTTCACCAACCAAGACATCTTAAAAACATTGGCCAATTTGTTGATATCTCTGAACATATCTCTGGATATAGGTGGCGTTTCCCCAGTGTAAGCAGCATGAACGAAATATCTTACAGCTGCCTCGCTGAACTCCTTCATATCAATGCTGGTCAGATGAAGAGTTGTGGTCATGTGATCTATCACAGGACTGTTGAAAGATAGGATCACTGAACTGGCTGGTATCACTGCCCCCTGACTTGCCTTTAGTTCCAGGGTACTGTGGGTTGGAGAGTCCAGTAACTGGATACCAAAATTCATTGGTACAAACACTTTTGGAGACATTTCACCTGAAATTTTTCAGTTATGTATGTAGTACTTATATTACAAAATATATTTAAGTATATTATATACAATTAATGTATATTTTTTTATTAAATACTTTTCAAATTTTACAGAGTACAGCAATAGATGAATATAAAATAGAATCGTTCAAAATATCGCCCCCATCTGTAAAATATGATGGGCACCCAAACACGGTAAACACATAGTGAACTATGTCCGCAGTAACTTGGACCCATTACATCGAATCAATCTAAATCCAAAAATTTATGAAAAACTATTTAATAACAAACAAATCCATGGTGAATAACTGTGGATATATAGTCAAAATTGTTATTTCAATACGTCAAATTCCAGATACATTAGATACAGGTCTGATATGGTCATTAATGTGTGAGAAGGTGTGCGGGTGAAGTGTGATATGATGTTGAAAGTATAGGAAGGTAGATAAAAAAATTAATAAAACAAAAATAATAATAATATGGGGAGCAAAGAGACTAGGCTAGGCTGTTGTTTCACTATCCAATAAACATTTCCATAGATGCTTAGTGACCTCAGCTTTGAAAAGACTAGTAGACACAATCTGTCTTACCTGTAAAGGGAGTCCATTCCACAGTATATGAGTTCTGTAGAAAAATGATTTTGCCAGTGGGCTATTTGAGGTACATAAGGTGTGTGAATTCTGACTTAACTTAGGTAAAATTGATAAAACAATAGACAGACTGTCGAGGTGGCAACGTCTTAGTCGAGAAGTCCCCTGATATAAAGAGAGATAGTGAGGCAGCGATACAGGAATTAAATTGTTCAGAACTTTGTGGAAAAAAAATAAGATCATTCAAGTCAAACTTTTGAGACAAAGGGAGAATGTCGACAAGCTTGCACTTTTTGACATATTGCTCAGGTGGATAACTGCGGCCCTCTTCAGACAGAATCCATTTAATAGCTCTCTTGTGGAGACTTTCTAATTTATCACTAAGTGATTTATTACAAGGGCGCCAGATTATGGAGCAATTTTCGAATTGGCTACGAACCAGGGAGAGGTAAAGCGCCCGGCGACGTTTCTGATCAATGACAATATGGCCATTTCTTCTGACCATACCAAGTTGTTGGCAGGCCTTAGTATAAATTCTGTCGCACTGACTATTCCAACTTAGCTTAGGAGTAACATCGACTCCAAGATCTTTTTCTAACTCTACATACACAAGAGTAGAGCCATCAAGATTATATGCGAATGGAGGAGATAAAGATGGTTTTCCTGAAACAATAAGCACTTTACATTTTGCTGGATGGAATCGCATTTTGTTTCTTAGTGCCCAGTCAGAGAGATAGTCTATATCCATTTGCAAATTAGTATTATCAGAAGATGAATGTATTTTACGCCAGATTTTTGTATCATCGGCATACAAAACAATATCAGTATTATCTGAAAGGCCAAGAGGAATATCATTGATAAACAATACAAAAAGTAAAGGACCAAGGATAGAGCCCTGGGGGACACCAGAATTAACTGAGAGGGTAGATGACATCTCATTACCAATAACCACTCTTTGGTAACGGCCTTGAAGGTAATTGGTAAGAAATTTGAGAAGTGTACTATCAATGTTATATAAGGTCTTTAGCTTATGAAGAAGGATATCATGATTTACAGAATCAAATGCCTTAGCAAAATCAAAATACACAACATGATTGATAATGTTTTCGTTAAGAGACAATGCCAGGCTATCACAAAAGTCAACCATATTGGTTGTGCATGACTTGTGCTCTAAAAAACCATGCTGTCTGGGATCAAGAAGGGTACTTGTCAAAGAAAGCAGTTTACGTTTAACAATGCGCTCAAAAACTTTCATGACTAAACAAGTAAGGGATATTGGTCTATAGTTTTCAACCTCACTTTTCTTACCTTTCTTAAATATTGGGACAACATTTGCCAGTTTCCATTCTTGTGGAATGTAGCCGCTGTTGTAGGATCCACGAAAAATGCATGTTAGAGGGTAAGCTAAACCTACGGAACAATTTTTTAGAATTTTACCGTGTATGCCATCTGGTCCCTGGGCTTTATTTGAATTAATATTTGAAAGAAGCTTACGAACATCCCGATGATCGAAGTCAATATCAAAATCAACATCATTGACATAGGAGATGTCAGTGTCATAAAGTGAAGGATCCGAAAACTGGTTATAAAAGAAAGAATTGAAAAGTTCAGCTTGATCTTTGGGTTATAACAAAATCAAATCTATATTAATTAAATTAAGCATTAACGAGGATGAAAAATAATGGTCATCCCCTCAGCAGCCGTGGAACTCATCCTGCTGAAATACAATTCTAAAATAACAATTTTTGTCTTTTGAAAGTACCACAATTTAACTGTTAACTTTATAATCCGAGATTTTGTCGATTCTGTATAATATGGTGAATGGACAACAAGTCACTCCAAAGAGAGATCAGTTACTAGGCAACACAAATTCTAAAATAGAAATGTAGAATGTAGATACCATTAACATGAATTTGAAAATGACAGAGGGATAATTTTTAAGGTTTCTGGATTAAATCGTCTTTAAAACACAGAAGAGCATTCTACAAGATCATCAGTGGGCAAAAGGTTGACACGGATGATGACTCAAACTGCGTAGGACTCCACCTCCATATAGAGCATGGACTGACTCAGAAGGAAAATTTTAACAAGTGTTTCAGTGTGAATCCTAGAAAATTCAAGTCCTAGTAGTTTAGATGTTAAGGAGCATGAGCACCGATATATACATGCCTTAAATTCCCTCCACCCCTCAGGAATGAATAGTACAAACCCTTTTAAGATTCCTTTATTGCATAATTGATTTTTATTTTGTCTGAGGGGCTTTCCATAAATTATTTTAAAAATACTTGGTCCTTTTATTGATGTTTCATATTTCACGGCAGTTTCCTTTTCAGAGTTTGAGTTTATATTTAGAAACTAACCATACTATCTTTTAGATTTATGTCACTTATGATGGGTCCGGCTGAAAGTACTATGACTCATTTTATCTAGAAGATTGTAGTTTCATTGCTTCTGAAGTAGCTATCAGTTCGCCGGTCAATGTTGGGTATAATACTTTCGTCTTTAAAATTATCTAATTGAGGTCCTAACTTTATTTTAATCAATGTTTTTCTGTCAGTTGTTTAAGCTAGAAACCACTGCAGGCAGCTTAGAGAAAAACTATCAAGCAATTACAATTTTAAACAGGTACAATTTTAAACAGGTCACATGACTGACATGTTTTAACTGGAGAAGGGGTTCCCATAGTGGTAGTGTTATAAACCACTTTTAATTTATTGACTTAGTGGTAGTTTTATAGACCACATTTAATTTATTAACTTATCATACTTAGTATTTATTTTTGGTGACTGTATCACCCAGTTTTAACATTTGATAATTGTACAGTTTATTGACGACACATTGACTGAATGTTATTTTATATTCTAATTTATATTCTAGATATTTTATTTATTTTACAACAGACGACAACTTCCTGTTTTTTCTTCTATATTAGTTACTCATATCTCTTGTACAGACTTTTTTACAAGGACATTGACAAATGATACTCACATTAGGCATTCATTATTGCATCTAAATTATTTCACTTGCATTAGGCTTAGAAATTTATTCTCTGGTCAACAGATTTCAAATGTTTAATTAATTTGTAGTATGACAGTAAGGTATATAAGAAGTTATTTAATTTTGCTTGGGCTATTATATTGACTAGGTATTGAGGTTTAATGATGATATGGAATTTGAATTCTATATAAATTTACACTATGTGGTTGGGGCATTTTGCATAGTAAATATGGTTACTACTCATATATATCATATTATTTGATTAAACTGATTGAGGTTATGCCCTTTGTACATGCTGAAGCGATATGCTATGATGAGTGGAATATGAGTTAGGATCAGTTTGGTCCGTTTCATGGCAAAAACATTTATTGATTATTTGATTGGTATTCGATTTCTGATTATTTCTTAGGAATATGATTATTATATCTCAATTTGGCTTTAGGTAGGGTGCCCCGCTAAAAGAACTGGATTCTTCCAGGAAGCATCCCGTGCACAGACCTTGGTCTACATATATATTAAATTATTAACCATTCATTCTGTATGTGCACGAAAATTTATTTCAATCAATCAATACTTATCAACTATTTAAAAACTTTTGCCTGATTAAATGTACTATTTATTTTCATGAACACTTTAAATCTCTTTATACAGGGTGTATGTAACTCAATACAATGCCGACATGTCTTAAAAGTCAAACTTTATTTCCCCTTAATTACTTTAAAATCTTTGAAATATCATACCAGTTCAGTATTTATGGACAAATATTAGGAATATCATCAAAATCACCCGTGCATCTAAAATACGGAATAAGAGGAACTTTCTGTAAATGAAAGTCATCATCCAGTCTAGAATTCCGTCTTCATTGATCTCTTAGATTGATGTGTCATTATAAGTACTGCGTGGCTAATAGCTATGTTATTGAGGCATTTAAAGACCACAAGATCAACTCTTAGTACCGAATTCCACACTGTTTTCTAAGAACTTGACTACTGTAATTGTATCATTTATTAGATGTATAAAAATATAAAAGCTTTAATTTTAATCGATGATTCCCATAAAAACATTCATGATATAAAAATATTAAGCCTGTGGCAATTATCCAAAAAAATCTATGTCTGTTTGTCCAAATCTACTTATCTAAATTTGGGAAGAATAAAAAAAAACTGTACTTATCATTCTTCGAATAGTCTGTCACTGGAAATGTATCCTAAATAATTTCATTATTCTGGTATACAGGTCTTCCAGCCCAGCTCATCGGAAGGTAATAACTCGGCCAACCACAGGGCTGCTTTAGTTCTTTAAACCATTCCATTACGAGATGCATATCTTTAGCATGTATCTCGTCATGATAATGTATTTCCTCTGAGTAATCATTGGGGTCAGTAGAGAGAACAAAATTAGCATGCTCTTTAGCAGGTA